GTGTGGGTGCTTTGGGTCGACTATAAAGTGTTTGTACTAGGCATTGGAAGATAACACATTTGCAACACATTTGAATTTCCTTGTTTGGAATTTGTGTTCACTTGTGATTGGTAGAAATTTTCTAGTGTTGCAGAAAACTCCCGTCAAAGTTCCGTAAAGGTTGGGTTGAACCTAGAGACTCGGAATTCCTTCGTGAGATTCGCGTCAAAGCCCCGTCAAAGCCCCGCGAAGGACCTGGTCTACAGAATTCGGGCGTAGGGCCCGTTTGAGGCCCGTGAAGGCTCCGTGAAAGCCCCGTGAAGGGCGCGTGAAGCAGAAAACGAGCCGAGGGCCCGTCAGGGTCACTTTAAGGCCCCGCGAAGGCCTCGTCGAGGTCGCGTCAGCCTGGGGAGAGGCGTTTCGCGACCAACATACGTGATGGCGGACGACGCCATCACTTGTGGCGCTCGCGGGTTGCCGCAAACTTCCGTGTTGCGATGTCTGTGGTGCGGGCTGAATCGGAGTGCCACGTGCTTGGGGTTGTGCTCGTGCGAGGTCATTTTGCAGGGACGTGCGTTCTGCCGTCAGCGCCGCAATTTCTTTAGAGCTTTCGCGGATTTGCCGCAGCAGTTCGTTCAAGTGCTCCTGCGTGAGAGTCGCGACATCGATATGCTCAGCCATTACGAGGGACGTCGGCTCGGCTTAGTCTAGGCGCAGTCGTGGCTGCACGCGTTTACGTGAGAACGCGAGGACAGCGGCTCCTAGAGGCTAAGGTGGGTGCGTGAGTCCCTTCGAGTGAAAAATCAAAAGTTGATTTCCTGGGGTGCGGAGATGCGCGGTCCGAAAAGAAAGAGGCCCTGAATACCAAATGTTAAGGGTGCAATGAATCGAAGTAGCGAGAATTGCACTAAAGTGTCAAACGAGTACAAAATGTGAGCGAAGGCATGAGCGAACATTTACACGCGAAACATGCAAACGGTAACGCGGTGTGTGCGAGCTAGCTAGCGCTACGCTGGAAGCGAGGCTCGGGCTAGTCTCGAAGCGTAGGCCGATACGGCCGGTCCAGCAGTGCGAGGTTTGGGAAAACAGTGCGCGCGAAGTCGGCTAAGCCCCCTTAGCAGTAACGGGCGAACAATTGCTGCTGCTGTGCGGGATGTTGCAGGGCGCACCAAGGAATATCGAGAAAATTCCTTCAGTATGACGTATTTTGCTGGGTGACACCATTCTGAAGTACGAAACGTAGTGACTTGTTTGGGAGACACCAACTCAGCTCATCCACATCACATCGATCGAATCAGCTACAATCCCTTGGCCTGAAATCCGGCATTGTCGCACATGGGCTTCGACGAAGGTACGTTATAAATGCAAACAGTATCACTACGTCATGTTTGACGGTCGCAAAATTGTCATTTCTTGTTCTTCTCATTTCGATGTCGCTTCTGTCCGCGACGCGTGGCTGGAGCGGCATGGAGACTTGCAACATTCCGAAGCTGTCTCACTGGCCCCCTCGAACCACCAACGTTTCTGTTCCCCCCCCCAGCGAACCGAATGCAGCCACATTTGATCACTGTGCGATTGCGACTGCTGGCTCAACTTTCCCAATCGACACTCCGTTGACATGCCACCCGATGATTGCCAAGCCAAAAGCAATCATACAGCTGGATAGAAGCTGTGCTGTTGTCTTCTTGTCTTGGCGTCTCGACCAGCTGGCCCAAAGTTGGATGAGTTTCTACAGTAAACCTGCCAAAAAAAACAGCTTATCACAAACATTGGAACTGTGGCGATGTTGCATGTAGGAAAATCCGGGCACAGTCGGAGTCAGTGTTTTGGAGAAACTAACATGCGGGTAGTTCAACGAACCATAGTTGCGGATGGCTCACACAAACACGAATACTTAGCTGCGATGGCGTGGGAACATATTTTCTATACGCAGGCTGTGCTTTCATAGCTTACAGAACTGCACATTAGAAGTTATCGAACAAGCCGAATCCAGGGGCCTGGACCGAGGCTTGAAGTGCAGGGAGATCTGTGTGATGATTTTTTTGTGCATAATACCTTCTGACAGGCGAGTCATTTCGGAACTTGACATCTGATTGCAGGGTGAACGAGACGCGCTGCAAGGTGCGCATGCTGTAGATCCCCAGAACAGCCTGTCACGACTTGCTTCACAGTGATGCAACGACTATTTGACTGTACCTGCCGCATTTGCCATCTCTTCCAGCCCAGAGTCACAGTTCCCCAAGTCTCAGATGATGACGAAGACAACAGGCGTCACCCGTTATCGATGATCGTCGCGCGATTGGCTGCATCTTTGTTTCACACACGGTGAATGACTCGTTTGAGGCGATTCGACGTAACGACGGCAGCAACACATGCCTCCCACCTGCCCGCCCAATATACTGTACAATTCGTCGCTGTTCGGGTCTTTTCGGCTCGCTTCTGCATGTCGATGTGGCATCCACCGCAAGAGCAAGCAATCAGTTCACCGCAGGTCCCAATTTAAAGGAAATTATTAGAGCAATCACAATTGTGCCCGTTTTATCAAGTTTGGTTACAGGGGTATCACAAACAGTCACCTTACAGTAGATTTCTATCGCGAATGATCACAGTGCTATCACGGATAGTCGCACCTCACCCCTAAAATCTACCTCGTTTGGTCACCTGATGAAACGATAGTAATAAAATTGAAACCACAAAAGAATCTGTAGAGATTTTTTTGGCGAATCTCGATTTTGATTGCTTGTTCCCTCGCGCATGATTCTAGCATGACATTTAGGGGACTGAAGGAAAAAATAGAAACCCCTATAAGATAGCATGCTCTTAGGGAGGCATCAACCCTAAACACCATGCGACAAGGTGGTTAGGGGTATCACATCCCGAATTATGTCCCATCCGAAGGGGTTTTAGTTGTTCAGGGGTTTTGGGAACAGAAATTATCTTTCAAGTTTCCCCCGTCTAAAAGTGATATTTTTAGGGTCTTTATGAATCAATCGAGCAGTGTAAAATTGAGTAGGAAAAAGAAATTGCTCTAGCGAGTTACCGAGAGTTGTCGCGAAACTATTTCGTAATAATACGGACAAAACTGCGCGCGAGAAAACTTTCCTTGAATCCCTACAGTGACTTGGAGTAGTTTCGACTTTCTATCAAGGTTTCAACAAGTGACCAAACGTGATTTCGGGGTGATGTGTGACCATCCATGATAGTACTGTGATCAACCACGATACAAATCTACTGTAATGTGACTGTTTGTTATATCCTTGTAACCAAACGTGATAAACTGGGTTTAAATTTGACTGCCCATATAATTTCTCCCAATTAAAAGTTTACTTCTGGCGGTTGATGTCGCTGTGACGAGTGGATGTGATTTGACCTGACTGCTCATCCACACGTGTATCATCAGAGAACATAACACTGCTTGTTTCATCTTAGAAGGGTTTGGAGTGCTCACCACCGTACGCAACCGATTCTTTTGAAACTAGAAAGCTCCGTACCGATTTGTCTGAGCCAAAATATATGGAACACGGTGTTCAGTCAATTACAGCTTTTCTAGTGCCTGCGTCGCATTTTTCTAGCCCAGTCAAGCATACACAACACACCTTACATGAGACATATTTCTCCGTTTAACGAGTTAATTTGTCAATTGAGAGTTCTGGGACTTGGTCAGCTGATATCAATAGTTCGTCGCTGGCTCGTTGGACCTAGACTGCTTTGCAAATGCTCTAAAACGACTCTGTGGACGAACGGACCGACGGCATTGTCACTCCAGCTGTTCGAATGGTAAGATAATTCAGTCAATCCTAGTACATTTTCTCTTCCAAGTACTAACCAAGAAAAACCGCAATGGTAAGTACTGTTCTCACCACCTTTCAACAACTTTTAATACTTTCCTTCCCCTTTCTCCCCTCCCCCTCCCCCCCCCCCCCCCCCCCCCCCCCCCCCCTTTTTTTTTTTGTGTGCAGGCGTTCTGTCTCAACGAACCTCAGTTGGCTTGGGGGATTCCGGCACGTCGGAGGGACACGAACGATTCTCACGGTTTGACCTCCGGAAATTGCGGCGCGAACCTCGGGCTATCTCTCGGCCTAAGCTCCGGCAATGGTGACAGGAATTTCCTCGCCGCAACCCCCAGCGCGAAACCCGCGGCTGTCGCCGAACCAGCAAAAACCGAAAAAACGCACTCCGCCGCTTATCAATTGCCGACTCCTTTCAGCGGTCAAAGTGACAGGAGCCATGGCGAGTCGCAGGCTGTTCCCGATCCTGCGCCACTCACGCCGGCATCTCCGCCGTCTCCGTCGACGCCTCAGCAGAGTATACCCGGAGCGCCGACCGCCTTAACTGCCACCATGAGCCTCCACTCGTGTCCGACGCAGGCGCAGGCGCAGGCGAAGACGGGTCAACTTGCGCAGGCTCAGGCTCAGGTTCAGGCTTTAAACGAGGAGCAGAAGCGGCAGCTGCTGCGGCTGCTGCAGCAGCACCACCAGAAGCTCGTGCAGGTGCAGCAGCACAAGCAGCAACTCCAGGACCAACTCTCCACGCCGCTCTTCACCGCACCCAACCGATACAGCCAACACGGAAGCCTCGAGGCTCACGTTCGTGATCAAAACGAGGCTCGTCGCGAAAGCGATCAAGTGACGTCAGCAGCAGAAAAAGCGGCTTCCGTAGTGCCAGCAGCGGCATCAGCTGCCGCCGCCCTTCAATCTCCAAGCCAAAATTCGCAAAGCGTGTCAAATCTTATGGATGGGTCAACCAGGGTTGACGCTGCCTCGCTACTAGCTCGTCTCTGGAGCGCCCCGCCCGCCGCAAATTTCGCAAATTTCGCGACTCCCGCAGCTGCTGGTAACGCCCCTTCGCCGCTAACCGCAGCCCTCCTCCGCAGATCTAGTTTAGCCCCCGCCGCTGCCACTGAGTTCGCGACCGCCGCGGAAGCCGCCGCTTCCGCCACGCCCTCGCGTTCCTCTTTGCGCGAGTTCAGCGCGCCGAGCCCCGTCGCGCGGGGAGCTAACGCTAGTTCCGCCCTAGCTGCTATGGCCCACGGTGCATCCGCGGAGCTGGGTCTGGGGGGATCGGGAGGGGCGGGGCTTGCGGGGATGGCGAGGAGATTGGCGGAACTTCTGAGCGCGAGGGCGGAGGGTAGCTTTTGCGCGGATGCTGCTGGAATGGCCACTGCTGCTGCCGCTGCTGCTTCTGTTGGTGCTGGCGCTGCTGACGTATGGCAGCCTAGGAGCGTATTTGAGACCCCAGCCATTGCAGCTGAAGGTTCTTTCATGCCCGTTGCTCCCATTTCCTCGGCTAAGGAAGCTTTATCGCCACGTGGACTTGATCTCCGCTCATTGGTTGGGAGATACATGAGCCACGTGCATGCTGACGTGGACCTTGAACGCCAGCCTGACGTGGAGGCGGCGGAAGGCATGGGGGAGGTGGGAGAGGGCGGCGGAGACGAGATGGCGGGCGGCGGGGAAGGGGACGACGGAGGAGCATCGGAGGGCGGCAGTGGGGGCGGCAACAGCAACGGCAACGCGGACGGCGATGGGGGTGACGGCAACAAGAGGAAAATGCGGCTATCGCAGGATCAAATCTCTATGCTGGAGCAAGTCTTTCAGAAGCACCCGAAGCTGGTGGCTCGGCAGAAGGCGAGCCTGGCGGAGAGGCTCGGCGTGCGGATGCGGCAGGTGGAGGTGTGGTTTCAGAACCGGCGGGCGCGCACCAAGGTGAAGCAGACAGAGGCGGCGCTTGAGGGGCTGAGGCAGCGCTGCCAGCAGCTGGCTGAGGAGAATAAACGGCTCAAGCTGCAGCTGGCTGAGAGGGAGAGGGGGGAGCGGGGGGAGAGGGCAGAGAAGGGGGAAAGGGAGATGGAAAAGGGGGGGAAGAGGGGGAGAGGAGGAGGAGATGATGGGGGTGCAATGAAGAGGGTGAAGGTCGAGGGTGCGATTGAGTGGGAGGTGTGTGGTTCGTGTAAGAGGAATGAGAAGCAAGGAGGGGAACAAGGGGCGAAGCAAGGGGAGGAGATGGCGGTGCAACAAGCAGTTGCATCCAATGAGGATGATTCTTCCGCCGAGCGACAAATGAGGATGTTTTTGTGACCTTGGTTAGTTGTTAGATTGCGTGTGTACATCGGAATGTACATTGGTGGCTGCATGTTAATGTTTTCTGTACTCAAGGAACACAAAAATTGCGTGGCTAAGAGTCAAGGCTGGAGAACTCAGAATAGTAGGAATAAGCTGATCCTAAACAACAGCTGTCTGTCCCAGCTGGCCTACACACTCCCCGCTGCTACTAGCGCGTACGCTGCCTGCTGCTATCGCCTGTCGTACGTTGCTGTCGTCGCCTGTCGTACGCCGCTATCGTCCCTGTCGTACGTTGCTATCGTCGAATGTCATACGCTACAACCGTAGCCTGTCGCACGCTGCTACCGTCGCCTCTCATACGCTGCGACGTTCTGGGGTTCGCACGCGGGTTCCCACAGCACGGCTTGGACAAGCGCACACCCCGCTGCCGCAGCGCCACCCACCAAACTCCACCGCATCAGCCGCGGCCGCGTGACACGCGGCCCGTAGAGCATCGCGCAGAAAGGAAGCGCGGCGAACGCGCCGTACACGGCGGCTATACGCGTTACTAGCCGGATGTGCTCGGAGCACGTGAGCGCGTCCTCCCGCATGAGGTCGCCCGCAGAGGCACCTAAAGGCTGACGGAGCGCCATCAGCGCCGACGTAACTAGTACGATCTTTGCGAGCTTTTGCGACGAACAAAATGACAGGCAATCTGAACTGGCAACTAGCGGGAAATGATGCAAGCGGCAAACCCGAAGCGGGCTCATCTAAAAACCTGATTGGAACTGGAACAAACCTGCACAAGGTGATTTCAGCGCCGGCAATATCGCGTACATCTAAAAAGGGTACACTGTGAGTGATTAAGAATAGAAGTACCCAAGGAAGAATAATTCGGGAGGAACAAAATGTCAGTGGCCCCAAATTCCCTCAGTTATCCCCACTTCCCCTTCCCTCCTTCCCTTCCCCCCTTCCAATCCAACCCCCCTACAGAATCAAAGGTCACCCATTATAATCACAGAGTGCACCACCATTAGAAAGACGAGTACCAAATCTGACCACGATCTTATTCCACATATCCCCAACCCCAATCCAACCAACTACCGTAAATTTCCACATTACACCTCAACCATTGCACCTTCAGCGGCGATCGTAGTAAGAGCCTCCATCCGTCCAATCATCTTGCGCCGTATACTCCGATTGAACATCAGACATCCCATCCCCCCTCACCCCACCTCCCTGATACCCCCCATGCCCCTGCCCTGGATACTCAGACCCTACCTCACTCTCAGCATACCCCCCCTCTCCACCATACCCACTATGCACACTCCTCGGACCATACTCCGTCGCTCCATCATCCACCACCGTATCCCCATCCCCATGGTGCCCCATCTCATCCCCATCCTCATTATAGTACGTCCCAGTACCATCGTCATCATGCACCGCGTTCGGATCATACACCTCATCCTCATCCCCGTCCGGCCCAATATAATTTCCTTCTTCGTCGTAAAAAGCATCTTCGTCACCCTCCCCTTGCAGCGGCTGCTGCATGTCTGCCATTTGGAATTCCAGAAACGCCTCGTCTTTCTTCTTGCCCTCGCGGTATCCTCTAATGAGGCAGAAGCAGCAGATCGCGACAACAAACAGGAGAAGCCCGAGAACAATGCCGCCCACTTTCAGCCAATAGGATGTGTTCTGAACTGTGGTTGTGCTGCTACTGCTGCTGCTGCTACTGCTGCTGCTGCTGGGAGTGCTGCTGCTGCTGGGGGTGCCACCACTGCTGCTACTGCTGCTGTTGCCAGCTGTGGTGGGAGGCATGGATCCCGAGCCTGCTCCTCCCGAACCTCCACCTCCGGCTGGGGGAAGCGGGGTGGTGTTCGCATCATACGTGGTCAGAACAGTCAGGTCTGACGCAGGATCCACACGGGGATCGGGGCCGGGCGGGAACTTTTGTCTGCAAGTGAAGTTGCAGTCAGTGGGCGAGGTAAGCCGGAAAACACCCAGATGGGTCAGGATGTAAAGCGTTCCATTGACGTCCTGCCCCCAGGCGAATACCGCGCCGAAATTAGGCCGGTACGAGCCTTGCATCGGGCATTGGATGGGTGAAGTGGGTGCGCAGGAAACGTTGAGGGGTTGCGAACCGAGGGGGAAGTAGCCGCTATAAGGGGGATTCTCTGTAGCCACGTAAAACTGGTTGTTCCTGTCACTGAAAAGGTACCTGGTTGGGGTCAGGCCGAGAGAAGACAAGCGTAACGTATGATGATTGAGCACTGAGGGTAGAGGATGGATTGAGTATTGAGCGTTGAGAATAAGGAAGCGTAAAACTTTGAGGATATATGCGCGGATTGACCTCGGAGGGGAACAAAGCAACAAGAATCAGCCTCGAGATCCCGAGACAAAGGTATCAGACCCAGGCACGTACATAGTCACCACCCACAATCGCACCTTCCATATAAGCACGCGTCCTCGTATCCTCTCGCGTAGAACCCTCCAACCACGCTGCTGGTGTTGCTCCACACGTATTGAAACGACGGCAGCTTCTGGTTCGGCACGGGCCGCTGCTCGCTAGCATTGGCGTATTCCCGACCCTCGAACCACTTCCACCCGTAGTTACCGCCGCTGGTTACCACATCGACCTCCTCCCACTTGGTCTGTTGGTGAAGCAAGGGAGGGGAGGAAGTGGGGGGCAGACGACAAAGGATGTGAGAGACGGGGAGGGGGTTTAGGTATGGGCCGGTAGTGGTCAGGTACGGGCCGATGCTAGCTGGCCGATGCTAGCTGGCCGATGCTAGCTGGGTTGTTGGCGGCATACACCCGAACCTCATACCACTTCCACCCATAGTTAGCACTACATTGACCTCCTCCCACTTGGTTTGTTGGTGCACAAACGGCGGCAGATGAAGGATGGGGGTGAATGGTAAGGGGAGAGCTGGAAAGTGAAATGGTGCATCCCCGACCCTCATACCCCATAGGCTTTCCAGGGGTTGTGGAAACCCAGCGCAAACACCTCCCCCTGCCATCCTCAATATCCCCCCCTCCCCTTCTCTTTCCCATCCCACCCACAAGCAGCAGCACTCACCCATCCGACATCCCCACACATCATGACTGAAGGCCTGAGGAGGTCAATGGTGCACTTCCATGGGTCATGGAAGCCCAGGGAAAACGCCTCCCCTCGCCAGTTCCCGCTGTCCCCTCCCAGTTCCTCCCCAACAGAACCGTTTCCCCACATCCCAGCCACCCTCAAGCAGGACTCACCCATCCCACGTCTCCACACATCATAACCGAGGGCCTGAGCAGATCAAAAGTGCACTTCCAGGGGTCGTGGAAGCCCAGCGCAAACACCTCTCCGCGCCAGTCCCAGTCGAGCGCGTGCGGGTTGTCCGGGGGAATGCCGTATGCCCCCAGCAGCTCCCTGCTCCTGATATCATCTTCACCTGTCAAGGGGGGTGGGGGAAGGGGGAAGGCAAGGAGGGGACGATTCAACTTGGTGGCAGGGGGGATTTACCCTTCTCACCACCCCCCCCCTCCCATGCCCCAGCATGACGTAGAGCGTGCCATCTGCGCCCCTTGGCATCGGGGAAACAGCACCGCACCACACCACTCAACACCACACCACTCCACACCTCACCACACCACACCGCTCTACACCTCATCCAAAGTCTCTACCCACCCACCCACCCATTTACCCATCCACCCACGCACCTGGTTGGCTGATGCCATTGAGCACGTCCAGCCTCAGCACCTTCCCATGGAACGCCTTGGGGTTCTGCGCCAGCCCCAGGGGGTCCAGCTCGCCCCCACCATCCCCCACCATGACGTAGAGCATGCCATCGGCACCGAAGCGGATCTGCCCGCCGTTGTTGTTGATGAAGGGCTGCCCCAGCCGCACTATGTAGCGCACTACCGTGGCGGAGATGCTCGCTTGCTGTGGAGGGGGCACAGAAGGGTGGGTGGAGGGGGATGCAGCAGATGAAGGGTGCGAGTGAGAGGGGAAGAGGCGAGGATACGAGCAGGGTGGTTCACGCCACAGTGGGTCCGTCCCCCAGCATGACGTAGAGCATGCCGTCCGCCCCGAAGCGGATCTGGCCGGCGTTGTTGTTGGGCGGGCAGAGCGTGTCACTGCATGCAGAGAACTGTAGGGACAGTAGCCACCACTGTAGGAACTGTGGGAACTCAGCCACCACTGTAGGAACTGTGGGAACTCAGCCACCACTGTAGGAAAGGAACTGTGGGAACTCAGCCAGCACTGTCGGGACTGTGGGAACTCAGCCAGCACTGTCACGTTCCGTGACAGGTCCCCCGTGCCCCACATTGCTTCAGGCTCGACTCAGGGGTGAGCCACACACGAACCTGAGAGATGTGACCAGGAGTGCAGATGGTGTCACTGCACGCAGAGAACTCCGCCACCACAGTCACGTTGCAGCACATGCCCCCTGTGGCAACCACAGCACAGCACACTAGCCGTGCTGCTGCCCCCTCACCCACTCCTACATACCTGGGAGATCTTAGCAGGCGTGCAGATGGTGTCACTGCACGCAGAAAACTCCGCCACCACAGTCACGTTGCGGCACATGCCCCCCGTGCCCCAGCGCCCGTCCGGATTGGCCGCCTGAACGTTTTCCTCTGAGCAGTTGACAGCTTTATAGCAGCCGCAGACAGCAGCCTTGCAGTCGGGGTTTACTGAAGAGTCGCAGGTGAAAGAGACGAAGAGGCGGCCGTTGCTGGTGTAGTCGGGGTGAAAGGCGATTCCTACCGCCCCCTGCTCCCCCCCCTGTGCCACCCTGTGATGGGAGAAGGCGGTGAGGGAAGGAATGGGGGTGAGGGGAAAGCGCCTTTGTAGCAGCCGCACACAGCAGCCTTGCAGTCAGAGTTGACTGAGGAGTCGCAGGTGAAGGACACGAAGAGACGGCCGTTGCTGGGGTAGTCGGGGTGAAAGGCAATACCAACTGCCCCCTGCTCCCCCCCCTGTGCCACCCTGTATGCATGAGTCGGAAAGGGGGGATGGCCGGGAGGGAAGGCATGGGCGTTGAGGGAAAGCAGTGAGCTTGCAGCCGCAGACAGCGGGCTTGCAGTCAGAGTTGATTGACAAGTCGCAGGAGAAGGAGACGAAGAGATGGCCGTTGCTGGTGTAGTCAGGGTGAAAGGCGATCCCCCCTGCCCCCTGCTCCGCCACCTTGTGCCACCCTGTGCAATACAAATCGTAGGAGATACCGTAACAAAGGTACAGAATGCTGAACTCCCTTCCCAATGCGCCCTCCCACCCCAATGCGCCCTTCCACTCCCACATCCCCTCCCCCATCACAACCTAGCCTTTGTCATCCCTCCCCAGTCTCCTCCCTTTCAGGCCCCTCCATCGCAGTCCAACTCCCTCCTGTCCCTCTCCTCCCAATCCCCTCCCTCCCCCACTGTTCACTCACAAGCCACTGATGTCGAGAAACGGTGAGCCCCCATCCGAAGGAAGCTGGTCCGAGGACCCCGGCTCGGGCAGATTGTAAAGAAACAACCTGCCCGCCCGCTCCAGGAAAAACGCACGCCGCGATTGGTCCGGATGCGGGGTCATGGCCACATAGTAACTATTCTCCTCGCTCTTATCATTCTTTGTACTCAACCCAATCTGCTCCACACACATGTTATTCACGGGCGGCAACAGATCCTGCCCCAACTCATCCGGGTAATCCACCGGTTTACCCCGGTAGCAAATCTTCGGCCCGTCACCGGGGTTCTTATTCGGGGGCATGAACCGGCGGCAAAACTCGCCCTTAGTTAAGTAAACGTCGTAAAGCGAGATGAAGCGAGGGTCATTGGTGGCGACGAAAGGGTTGTAAGGCATGCCAACCATGCCGCAGACGTCCCAGACAGTGGAGCAGAAGGGCTGCGTCTCAACAGGGTCGCGGTTCGACTGGGCCGTGCAGAGGTACGGCACGTCGGCATAGCGCCCTGTGTGGTCGCGACGGTACACCTGCGAGGCGTAGGGGTCGCACTCCTGGTGGGGGAGGGTAGGGAGGGTGGAAGAAGGGAGAGGAGGGAGAGAGAGGGGAAGAAAAAGGGAGAAGAGGGAAAGGGAGAAGAGGGACGTTGAGAGGGGTTGTTGGGCATGGGAACCATGCCGCCAACGTCCCAGACAGTACTGCTTGCATTCCACACGCGCAGCACTCACAGCAAGGGGAGCTCAGACCTTTCCAATCCACAGACAGGAGACCCCAGACCTCTCTAACCACACAGCAGCACTCACGGCGCACGGCACTAGTTCCAGCGCACGAAGGCAGTTCTTGGCACCGGGATTGCCTCTCATGGAGTTGCTGTGCGTGACCTTCACGTTTTATCGTTCTTGCACCACTGCTCGCATTCCACAGACAGGAATACCCAGACCTTACCGTCCACACAACAGCACTCACGGCAAGGAGAACCCATATCTTTCTCCATACGCACCCAGGCATTTCCAGCCCAAACCACATGCGCAGCACTCACGGCGCACAGCACGAGTTCCAGCGCGCGGAGGCAATTCTTGGCGCCGGGGATGTTGCCCATGGCGTTGCTGTGCGCGACCTTCACATTTCGCTCGTTCTTGCAGTACTGCTTGCATTCCACATACAGGAATTCCCAGACCTTTCCAGTCCACACAAACAGTACAGCACCACACACGGGGCACTCACGGCGCACAGCACGCGTTCCAGCGCGCGGAGGCAGTTCTTGGCGCCGGGGTTGTTGCCCATGGCGGTGCTGTACTTGAGCAGATTCTCCGCGATCTTCACGTTCCGCGCATTCGTGCAGCAGCTCTCGTTGTTGTACTGCCGGCAGATCTGCAGCTGGTCCTTGGGCGTCTGCGGTTGCGCTGATGGGATGCAGCGGGGGAAGAGGGAGCGGAAAGGGTTGCTTTTGGGTTGATGTGAACGAAAATGTAGCGCTCGTTCGTGCAGCAGCTCTCGTTGCTGTACTGCCGGCAGATCTGCTGCTGGTCCTTGGGCGTCTGCGGTTGCGCTGATGGGATGCAGCGGGGGAAGAGGGAGCGGAAAGGGTTGCTTTTGGGTTGATGTGAACGAAAATGTAGCGCTCGTTCGTGCAGCAGCTCTCGTTGCTGTACTGCCGGCAGATCTGCAGCTGGTCCTTCGGCTTCTGCGGTTGCGCTGATGGGAGGGAGCAAGGAAGGTGAAGAACGGGAAGGGAAAACGAGGGGGGTGGCATTTGGGTTTACTCTAAGGGTAATGTTGCGCTCGTTTGTGCAGCCGCTCTGGTTGTTGTACTGCTGGCTGATCCGCAGTTGGCAATGGAATGGAAGTGATGGGATGAATGCTTTAGAAATGTAGCGCGAGGGACGGATGTGCGTTTGAAGGATTACGAACTGACGGTCTAATGTGTGCTTGAAGGAATATACGCCGAGGGAATGACGTGTGCCTGAAGGAAAATAAGCACGAACTGACGTGTGACTGAAAGTTTGAAAACTGACGGACTGAAAGGCGACGGACAGTCGGAAAGGAAGCTGACGGCTGACGGACTCGCGAGCAGATCTATTACTTACTCGAGCATCTTCGCAAGGCTTCGAAGGAAAAGAACGGACGACGGAAATAGTGGTCGGGAATGCATTGTGAAGGATGTTTTCGGTCATAACTTACACGAGTCGAGGCACAGCTTCTGAGCCGAAGCATGACTGTCGATCCCGACCAGCATTAGCACTATCGTCACTAGTAGCAACACGCTGACTAGGCGCCGCATTCTCGGCGAATGAACTGAAGGATACGATAAATAAATGAAGGCAACTTTGTTGCGGTTAAGCGGATCTCTACAACGCGTTCAGGTGCTCGGCTAATTTGTAAGACCTAATAGAGCTTCGTTCAGCCCACGTAAAAATCGGCTGAAGGCAGTCGTTACAAGGACCAGACTAAGAAACGGTGAAGAGACCTGAACATATGGGCTTGGTGCACAAGTATAGAGCGGCGCTTCTTTTCCACGTTCCAGCGCAAGTCAGAAGTCAATGTGAGCGTCTTCGCTCTACTTCCCAGGCAGAACAAGCAACATGACTAAGAGCCGTCGAGGCGGCTAAATAAGCGACACAATGTGCGCGTTGCACGGCGTCGCATCGCCAACAGCCGCCGTTCTTGAACGACCAGAATTAGTACGGAATGAGGAATGCGGCTACCTTCAAGACGAAATTCTCGAGATTGCCCCTCACAGCTATGGCGGACGGCGATAGGAGATGGGGGAGGGGGAGGGGGAAAGATTGCTGGGAAAATATTGCGAGGGGAATGATTGCGGGAAAGTGTTTGTGGGGGAGCGGTTGCGGGAGCCTAGGCAGGGCAACTTTGATGTTTTTGGTTGGCTGGCGGCCCTTCTTTGTTGGGGGGGAGCGCTCTGCGAGCCTGCGCGCAACAGAGTGATGATGCTCCGCCGATGCCGTATATTTTTCCGCCACGCGCGAGGGTGTGGCTCTCTGAACCGCAGTCGCTGGCCGGGACAGGAAGCGGAAGGCAGCTGAGCGTGAACAGTGTCGAGGGACCGCTAGTGGAGCGAAAATAGGACCAGGGTGTCTTGAAATTGAAGTAAAGGATTAGGAAGGGTAAATAGCAAGTAGAGAGAAAGAAAACTCCTAGAAGAAAGAGTTAAAACCCGCGGCCCAAATTGCGGGCTGTGCGGGTCAAGCTTTTAAAACTTGACGAACTAGTGTTTGCAAGGTTATAAAAAAAGCGCGCCTGCAATTTGGGAATTTCGGGGACTGAACCAAACCCCAGGGCGAAATAACCGAAATCGATAACGTTCGCCAAACCCCAGACCAGAAAAACCCCCTCGCGTCAAGCTTTCAAAAGTTGTGCAATTTGGGCTGCCGGCTTTAAGAGTGAAAGAAAGACAAAATTGATGAGATAAAGAAACCTATGAAGAAGAGATTGAGTAAAAACGTAAAGGCTAAAAAGGTTAAAGATAAAAATAACAAACTTGAAAGGAAGATGATAAAATCATTAAAGGGAGAGAACAATTGATTGAAAGAAAGATATTGAATGGGAAATTGATGAAAAAGGTAAAAGAGCTTGAAAATTAAACAAACTTGATAATGGAAACTAAGATTTGAGAAGAAAGGAGACTTGATGAGAATGAAGAGGCTTTGAATAGGGAGCTTTAATTGAGAAACTTGACAAGAGTGGAAGGAGGAGTTGACTTACCTTAAAGAGTCTTGTCATTTTGAAGGAGCTTTGTAACTTGAAGAAGCTAAGCTTGAATCGTGAATCTTGATTGTTGGAAGGATAGTGTGATCCAAGCTTGATTGTTGAGTAGTAGATCTTGATTATTGTGCAGAGAAGAACCTCCAAGCTTGAGTGTTGAAGGTGAAGACTGAGTCTTGATTATAAGAAAGTCAAAGGTTGATGTTGAGGCTTCAAAACTTAAAATGCACTAGTCCAAAGGAGGTACATGATGGACTTAAAGAGCAACTATTAATAACAATCTAGTAGAAAGACTATGAAGCATAAGCTTCTCTAGAGCTGGAGAACATGGCTATGAGCTTGGATTGGGAAAGTTTGGTGGTGAGTGGAGCCTTAGGAGTTGGGCACTGAGAAAGCACGCCCACAGCATGAGAGAGATCTGGGCGGGTGCAGACGTATGCGTACATGAGGCTACCGATAATGCTCTTGTAAAGATTAATGTCGAGGGGGGAAAGGAGTGATGAAGGAGGTGCGTTGGAAGAAGAAGGGGATGAAGAGGATGAAGGTGCAAGAGCCTCGTGGAACTCGTCCCAGTCAGAAAAGGGTTCAGTCTGAGAGGGCTGATGGTCAGAAGTGGAAGGGGAAGAATGCTGAAAAGTAGAAAGGAGAGGTGTAGATGCAGGATTGCAGGTGAGAAGGCCGAAGTGAGAGAGGACCTTGTGAATGTATCGCTCTTGGGAAAGAAATAGAGAGCGAGAAAGACGGTCACGAATGATGTTCATGCCAAGGTAATATGATGGCTCACCCATGTCTGTCATGACAAACTCCTTGGTGAGCATACCTTTGATGTGGGTGAGAAGGGAGAGAGAACCTGACACCATGAGGATGTCATCCACATACACTATCAACCAAAGTACCTCATGCACCTCCGTGTGCAGGATGTAGAGTGCAGGGTCATACTCAGACTGTGTGAAACCTTGTGCCAGCAAGGCAGACTCTAATGCGTGATACCAAACCCGTGGAGCTTGTTTCAGACCATACAGGGACTTGTGCAGCCTGCAGACTCTCTCAATACCATCGTGATACCCATCAGGTTGAGACGTGTAAATCTCCTCCTCCAAAACGCCGTAAAGGAAGGCGTTGGAGACGTCCAGTTGAGTGATGTAGAGATCCATCCGTACTACCATGCCAAGAAGAGCGCGGACACTGGTGTACTTGGCGACCGAAGCAAAAGTTTCATTGTAATCTTGTCCAGGAACTTGAGAATATCCCTTGGCAACCAAACGAGCCTTGAACTTGTCCAGGGATCCATCACCCTTCACCTTCACCCGGTAGACCCATTTCACTCCCACGAGCTTCTTTCCTTTGGGTAATGGCTCCAAAGTCCAAGTCCCCCTGTCGAGTAAACTTTCCAGTTCTGCCTTTTCCGCTGCTAACCACTGTTCCTTAAATGCTCTTGCCATAGCTTCTTTGCAATTGAGAGGCTCGGGTGGAAGTTGGGAAATGGCGAAACAGGTGGCGTGGATCCTGCATTGGAAGGAGGTACGACCGCTACACAAATGTCTTGGAGGTGAGCTAAGAGTGGAATACGTCGCATGAGAGGTGAAGTGCGCAGATGACGAAGTAGAAGATGTTGATGGTGCTGACGTACTCGTGTCTGGTGGATAGTTGATATCAATCCGGTTGGGTGACTTAAGCGGTGCTGCTAGTTGAGAATGAGCTTTTGTTGAAGCTCTATTTGTCGGAATTGTCGAATGGAGTTGCTGGATATGGGGAGGTGTGTGCTGTTTTGTTGGTGGTGGCTGCACGGTGGATGGTATGAGTTGACGATGATCTGGAAGGTGAAGAAGGGCTGCTGGACGATAGCCGCTGGGCCGATAAACGACGAGAGATGTGAGTGAAGGCTGGAGAGAGTGAGTGTCGGGAGGATGTTGCTGTTGCTGCTGGTGAGTAGGAGGGGGTTGAAGAGGAGGAGGTAAATCGGGTGGAGATGGTTGTTGTCGTTGTTGTGATGGGGGCGGTGATGGCTGCCGCTGCTGTTGATGATGAGGGGTGGGAGCAGAAGATGATGGCGGTGGTGGTTGGTCTTGAGCATGAGACACGTCTTCGTGTTGCTGGTGCGGTGATGATGCAGGAACTCCACTTAGAATGATTGTTGGAAGTTCGAAATCTGCAAAGGTAGAGAAGGGAGGAACTTGAGAGGAAACAAGAGGGAAAGGATTTCCAAGAAGACGGGGACATGTCTTCATAGAAGATCACGTCCCTTGACACAATGTCTCATTTTAAGAGAGGATCCCACATCAACCAGCCCTTACTCTCCTTGGCCATGCTCAGATGCATGCCCCATGCTGCCTTGCTTTCAAACTTGCTGCGTTTGTCATCCAGCACTTTGTACTGACTCATACAGCCAAAAACTGGAAGCATGGACACATTTGGCTTTACGCCGTATAATGCCTCATAAGGTGTAACACCCTCAGCAAGGGAGCTTGTGAGCCGACGATTCTTGACCCAAGCAGCATGGGTAATAGCTTCTCCCCACCATGAGTCATCCAGATTCATGTGGGAAAGAAAACTTCTTGAGATCTCCTGAATCGTACGGTTGTATCTCTCAGCAGTACCATTTTGTTGAGGTGTTGCTGGGCATGATAATTGCTGCTCAACTCCAAGGTTGGTAAGGAAAGAGCGGAATGAGTTAGACATGTACTCTCCTCGACGATCAGAACGAAATATCTTGACCTTCAGACCCAACTGACGCTCAACATAAGGGAACCAAGACTGAATAACACTGGGAGCTTCATCTTTGGATCCAAGAAGAGAGATCCATGCAAATTTTGTATGATGGTCAATGAGTGACACATACTTTTTCCCTGTACGACTCGGAGTACGGGAAGGACCCATCAGGTCACTATGTATGAGCTCAAGTGGTTGAGAGACTTCAGATTCAGAAGAATAGAAAGGATGACGAGGGAGCTTAGCTTCAACACAAGTATGGCACGATGAATGAGAAGATGACAGCTGCTTGGAGATAATAAGACCATCAACACTTGCATGAGCTTGCATGCGTGTGATACTAGACTCTTCAGGATGACCAAAACGAGAGTGCCAAGTGTAAGGGGATGCAGATGTTCCAGGGTGAAGTCTTACCGAGGTGGTAGCAGCAGCAGTCGAGGGACTGCTATAGGGCTTGACAGGTGGTTGTGCATCAATCTCCACTCGATAGAGACGTCCATTTCGAACACCTCTTGCAATAGGATGCCCAGTTGGAGCACGAACCTGCATAGAACCATCTGAGAAGGAAATAGAGATACCTTTCTCTTCCATTTGACCAATTGAGAGAAGATTTGCTCCTAGTGAGGGGACAAGCAAGATGCCTGAGAATGACATATGGATTCCCTCTGGGCTGAGGAATGTCATTGTGCCCTCTGCTTCAACTGGCACCGAATGGTTGTTGGCAACAACCACTTCTTTCACGTTGGAGGGCTTGAGGTTGTGAAGAAGGGAAGCATGAGGAGTCATATGTTGATCACATCCACTGTC